AGCCTATACATAATACTTTTAAAGCTCTTTTTAAAAATCTTGGCTTACATAAATTTCTACATATGCCATGTCATGCCATAGCATCATTAAACTAGCATCTAACAATAGACAAAAGTGTTTTTTTCTCTTTTTTTTTCTCTAACCTATGGTTCTGTAACCATTAAGGCTGCTGTGTAATTTGCCCCCTGGCTAAGCATTTAAAGAATTTAGGGGAAGCATTTAAATAATCCTGCGAATGAACTTAAAGAATGCAGATTCTAATCGTTAATCGAATCGAGTTTAATTGTGAATCGAAGTGAATTGAATCGTTCTGAATTTGCAAAAATCGTTCTTGAATCGAATCGAAAACCTATGAATCGTGAATCGAATCGATTTGCTGTCTACCCAAAGATTCACAGCCCTACTCGGTATCCTTTTATTAACTGGTTCTTAAACTTTTATTTTGGTTATTTAATTGGCAGCCCGCAGGCCCAATCCGAACCGCCAATCATCTTCATCTGGCCCAGGAGAAGAGCACGCACAGGTTGCACACACGCCTCAAATTGTTTTTGCACTATTTAGTTTGTCCACAAGGTGGCAACACTGGCCCGGGGTGTTGTTTTACAGCCGAAAAAGAAAAGGAAAACACTCAACAACAATCTACCGGAGACCGCAACATCAGTAGACGGCAGCGATGACAAGCGCTCATGTGAGGGGGTTAAGAGATATCCGCAACTCTAGTTTAAACAAGTATAAAGACAGTGTTATCTGTCATAACTTCTGGCGAGAAATAGAGCAGACACCGGACGAAGATGAATATCAAATGGAGTATAGTTTGAAAGGCTGCGTGTTCAGCTGTCGGCCTACGCTAAGCTGCTTCAGACAGCGCACCAGTAGTGCTTTAACAGACAAAAACACACACAATCAAGTCAAAATGCTGGTTTTTGGCGAGTGACCTCGTAAACACGGTCTTAAATAAGTTATAAAGTCCTAAACGACCATAAAGAGTTGGAAGAAAACCAGAAGTGAAACCTGATGAAGTCTGTCATTGATGGAAATCAAAGAACAAAAGAAAAAGATAAATCACTCCACTGCTCTAGTCGCTTATTAACTTTTGTAGTTTGAATAAAGATTAATTTATATTCATTTTATAGTTTATACATAAACAATTTATAGTTTATGTTATGATTATTTTAAGTACACTTAAATTAAAAGTTACCATGTTTTTCTGAGTCTATTAAGTGTTAAAAATAATGGCTTTCTATTATACTGTAATGTTGACTGGCTATAATTAATGGCTAAAAGTGAGGGAAAATGCATTTAATAGAGATACCAGTAACATTATTGATATCAATGATACTGGCCTTAATTAATAGTAGGCTACAAAAAGATGCCATTAAACACATATTTAAAATATACCATCTTTATGTTGTTTCTGCATTAATTAGGAGGTTCAGTGTGAAATTATGATAATATAAATATATTAATATGCGATTAATCACGATTAATTACAGAAAAATGTGCGATTAATTAGTTCTTTTTTTTAGTCTATTGACTGTTAACCTTTTATAGATGTTATTGTTGGTAATATTAGTTCATTTTACAGCTGAATATGCTTTTCAATTTAATTTCTAATTTTATAGGCCACCCCCCAAAAAGAGATTGGGACATCCCCCCACCAATTTGGCCCCCTTCAAATTTTTAATTCGATTAATCTGGCCCTCAAATGAAGCTAATTGAATAGCCCTGCCCTATATGGTTCAATTGGTTTGGTAAAAAGAAAAAAAAAAGAAATAAGATGCATTTCTAGTTTCAAGATTATTTGTTCTTCAGACATTCCTCTATAAATAAGTATCAGCTGTATGAAAATGTGTAAATTCAACAATTTACTCATAGAGACAAATTGTGATCCCCATATCGCTGGGATTGAACCATATAGGACTTTAAAATGAGGATTAAAAAACAGAATCTAAAATCTTATTGAGATATCTTTAATACTTCTTGAGATACAGGCACACAATCTTTGAAAAAAGACTTTTTGGCATTCAGACAGGTTTGTTCTATGCAGCTACTGTATTTTGATAGAGGGGAAACAAGATACATTTTTAGTTTGAACATTATATCTTCTTTAGAAATTCCTCTTTAAAAAGTTATGCAAACCGAAAATGTAACAATTTGATATCTCCATATCTGGAATTGCACCATATATGGCCTCAAAAAGAAGTTTGAAGAAGTTTGTTAAGAACCATTAACATTTAATAAGAACCATTAAAAAACACTTAAAAAGTTATTGAGATATATGTAATATTTATTCAGATACAGGAGTTCAAAATCAACCAATGAAATCTTTAGAATCTGTGGTGGGCGGGGTTTGTGCTTTAACTGTTAAAAAGGTGAGGGATATTCACTTCATCCTTCATGACAGGTACAAACTCCAGGTGTATCAGCTGAAATCTGTGACATAGTAAAGATGGAGTTTGTCAAAGAGGAGATTGAAGACATGAGTGATCCAGAACCATCCAGAATAAAACATGAAGATACTGAGGAACAAACAGGTTGGTGTCCATTCTTGATTCTTCACTGTTGATTGCTGAGACACATTAAAGCTGCTGTTAAAATTTTTTCGTAGCTGTTAAATAATGAGCAATAGGAATGATAAATGATTATCTAAATGATCATATCCACATTTTAATTTTATTAACAAGGAATGACAGAACTATCCTTTGGCACTTCAAAGATCTGATCCTTGATGCTCACAGATAAATATGGTTGCGTTTACACTTGGCATTAACATGCGACCTGTATCCGGATGTTGTCCACATACACATTGAAAAGACAAGTGTAAACCCGCTTCTGATTGGAATGTTATCCGATAAGCGTGTCCTGCTCCAGAGGCAGTAGAGGAAGCATTGATAAACTAGTTTTGCTGTAAAATGCCATAAGATTTGTGGGGATGTTTTCTTCTGTGTTGTTGGAGAACATCAAAGAGAACTTAGTTACTTTAATCTTACATAGATTTTTTTTAACTGATGTGACGTCATTTCATACAAAATCCGGCCAATACAAAGTTCGTTGTCTCAGTCTGTTGACCCACAATGAAATGTGCTTAATGTGCCAATTTACAGAAGATCTCAGACATCATCATAATGAATGAGGAGAAAACTGGGAACTATTGACTTTTCAGCAGCTCATTGTCTATTGACGCTGTCTTGTTAACAGGAGAGATTATTCAGTGAAAATTAAGTGAACACGAGTATTTGATTTTAGAAAATCTGTTTCCAATTTGTTAATGCTATATATTGTGACAACAAGATAAAAATTCCAAAGCAGGATATTATCAGACATTAATAGGCTGGAAGCGGTTCTTTGAGTTTTATGTGTGTGTGTGTGTGTATGCATTCATGTGTCTGTGTTTCAACAAGAATTTCCCATAGGTGGCAGGAATACACTAAAGAGTTGTCAAATTTGCCATAAAAATTCAAAAGAACAAATTGTGCAGAAGATAGAAGTGCAGAAAAAAGTGCTGAATATTTGAAGTTGGAGCTAGAAAGGCTGTTATACCATTTTTAGCTAAACCATAAATGAAGGGCAATTGTGGAATATTTTCACAGAATGCCTTATATTTCCAGTCTGCATGTTTCTAGTTTACAGTGTCCTGGTTTATTATAAAGTAGAGTGTAATAAGTTGGTAGAGAGTTTTTCAGACTTTGAGTGAGTGTGAGCACTTCTGTGTGATAAAGATGATTTCATAACTCCATGTTTTTATAAACAGCGTTTATTTTCTAATGAATGAATTTGTTTATTTTACGTAAATGTGCATTGTTTGTGCTGCAGCATACTACAGAACTGAATAGAATCATTCATTTTGAACAATGTTTATATTGTGTATATATAAAAATGCATCTCTTTGCATTTGACCTCTGCTTTGCAATTATGCATATTGTTGGCTGTGTGATGAATGGCTTGTGGCTGTTTTATATGACACTAATATGTGACCATCAAATGCTTTATATTTTGAACAGCAAACTAATATATGTGGTTAATTTAAAGTAATAGAGTATAAATTCAGTAACTTGTATTTGATTTCTCCAGATCTGGTCCTGTGGGTCTCAGTATCAGACAATGATCACAGTTCACACCTACAGTGAAGCCCCTCCCACAACAATTAACCTATAAATACTGGTGAATATTCACATCATCCTACAAGAGAAGAACAAACTCCAGGTGCAGCAGCTGAAATCTGTGACTGTTAAAGATGGAGTTTATTAAAGAGGAGATTGAAGACATGAGTGATCCAGAACCATCCAGAATAAAACATGAAGATACTGAGGAACAAACAGGTTGGTGTCCATTCTTGATTCTTTATTGTTGACTGTTGAGAAACATTAATCTAACAAAGCTCCAGTTCACTTGATTTTAACCACATAATTTGTTTATTTTAGACTTGGCTGAAATAAAACAGCAAAGAGTGAAGCTGAAAGAAGTGGAGGAGGAAAAATCAAGAAAAAAAGCCAAACAGCTGCACACCTGCTCACAGTGTGGAAAGAGTTTCAGAAAAAAAGAAAACCTTAATGTGCACATGCGAATCCACACTGGAGAGAAACCATACACATGCCCTCAGTGTGGAAAGAGTTTTACTGCAGCAGCAGGTCTCAGTTATCATCTGCATGTTCACTCTGGAGAAAAGCCTTTCAACTGTGATCAGTGTGGAAAAAAGTTTATTTCATCATCAATTCTAAAACAACACCAAAATGTTCATTCAGATGAGAAGCCTCATGTGTGTACTTTCTGTGGAAAGACTTTCATAAATAAGGGAAATCTTAATGTGCACATGAGAGTCCACACTGGAAAGAAACTGTACACATGCCCTCAGTGTGGAAAGAGTTTTGCTGATTCATCAGGTCTCAGTTATCATCTGCATGTTCACTCTGGAGAAAAGCCATTTAACTGTGATCAGTGTGATAAAAAGTTTATTTCATCATCAAGTCTAAAACAACACCAGAAAGTTCATTCAGATGAGAAGCCTCATGTGTGTTCTTACTGTGGAAAGAGTTTTTCACGGCTGGACAGTTGTAAGCTGCACCAGAAAACACATAATGAAGTGAGAGATCACATGTGCTTTGAGTGTGGGAAGAGCTTTACTGTAGCTGCCGTTTTGACAAGACACCAAAGAATTCACACTGGAGAAAAACCTTACAAGTGCTCATATTGTGACAAGAGTTTCACTGTGTCTGGAAGCCTGAAAAGGCATGAAGGACTTCATACTGGAGAGAAGCCGTATCACTGTACTCAGTGTGGAAAGAGTTTCATAGATGCATCAGGTCTCAGAAATCATCTGCACATTCACTCTGGTGAAAAGCCATTTAGCTGTGATCAGTGTGGTAAAAAGTTTATAAGATCATCACATCTAAAAAGTCACCTGATAGTTCATTCAGATGAGAAGCCTTACTTCTGTTCTTTCTGTGGAAAGAGTTTTTCAAGACTGACTTACTGTAAGCAGCATCAGAAAACACATAATGATGTAAAAGTTCATGTGTGTCGTGAGTGTGGGAAGAGCTTTACTACAGCTCCTCATCTGAAACAGCACCAAAGAATTCATACTGGAGAAAAACCTTACAAGTGCTCATATTGTGACAAGAGTTTCTCTCGGTCTGAATACCTGAAAGCACATGAGCGAGTTCACACTGGAGAGAAACCGTATCGCTGTACTCAGTGTGGAAAGAGTTTCACTCGGTTAAGAATTCTAGTGACTCATATTAAAAAGCATTGTTCTGTGTCAGAGTGAGCAAATGTTTTCTACAGATTCAATATTTCTAGTCAATAATGTGAGATTCAGATACTGTAAATGTGCAATTAGCTCAAATAAACTAGTTTTGCTGTGAAATGCCACAAGATTTGTGGGGATGTTTTTTTCTGTGTTGATGGAGAACAGCAAAAGTATTTAGTCACTTTAATCTTACACTGATTTATTTTAATCATTTAATTCAATGCCGCCTCAATGATTAATTGCCTCAGTTTCTGACCTTTTTTGTAACATAACACTTTTTTCTAAGATATTTATTTATATATTTCTCTGCAACAAAATAGTTACATTTACATTTAGTCATTTTGCAGACCCTTTTATCCAAAGCAACTTACAATTGGGGAATACATAAAGCGATTGTTCTTAAAGAGGCAAACAGACACCGGAAGTGCTCGTAATACCAAGTTTCAGGCATTGTTCAAATAAGTACAAGCTAGAAAGGGAAGGACTAAATCAAGAGAAAGACAAAGTTTTTTTTTCTTTAAAGAAACTATATCTGTGGGGGTGAAACTAGAAAGACTTATGAGTGGAACTTCAGTCAACTCTTAGTGTGAGTAAAATGGTTTTGCAAAATCTCATTTGGGTGCTAAGTAGGTAGGTCTTGCTTAAAAAATATATATATTCATGTCATTTACTATTGGCCAAGTGTAGTGGAAACTTATTGCTGTGAGTCTGGAAGGAGCGTTATTGTTTTTACATAGTGATATATGTCTGTGAGAATATAAAGAAAGACTAATGTTGAGTATTTATATATTTAAACTAATTGAAATGTCTTGTAATGCTGTTTGATTTGTTGTCAACCAATGCAATGAAGATTGAAATACTAGTAGCCTAGATTAACTAATTCATATGTATGACGATAGTGTAACAGTACAGAGATGTGATTTACTTAAGAATATGTAGCCCCTTTAAGAAGAGCATGCGCAAAAGAGAAAAGAGAGTCGAGCGCTGACACTTTCACCAGTTGAGGCTGAAAATGAAGCTGTTAATAATATTGAATGAAGGAGGATTTGTGAAATATTTTCACCGAATGCCGTATATCTCCAGTCTGCATGTGAGAGATGTTCCTTTGACATTAATCAGCTCTAGTATTGAAGTACTAATACAATGAAACCCATTATGTGTCCAGGTTTATTATTAATTAGAGTGTAATATGTTGGCAGAGAGTGTTGCAGCCTATTGACACGCTTAATGTGTCCATTTACAGAAGATATCAGGCATCATCATAATGAATGAAGTGAAAACAGTGAACTTTAAAAGACAAAGAGGCTCTTCAGCAGATTAGTTAAACATAATGGCCCTGTTATTTCTGTATATGGACAATATCTAACTGTATTGTTCTTCATTTTTATTCTTTGTTTTGGATGAGTTTTTTGTTTTTTATTTAAGTTTAAAAGTGCAATTCTCCTACACAACGCCTAAAAAGGTGAACACCTGAAAGCACATGAGCGAGTTCATACTGGAGAGAAGCCGTATCGCTGTACTCAGTGTGGAGAGAGTTTCACTCAGTCAACAACTCTATTAAACTCGTATTAAAAAGCATTGTTCTGTGTCAGAGTGAGCAAATGTTTTCTACAGATTCAATATTTCAAGTAAATTTTGTGAGAATAAGATACAGTAAATATGAGATTAGTTCAAATCAACTAGATTGCAAAAGTATTTAGTCACTTTAATCTTATCCTTGTCTTTTGACCTTTTTGTTGTATAAAATGGTTTTCTAAGATATTTATTTATAAGTTTCTTTGCAACATAAAAGTTGTATAGGCTAGGTATGATGATGCAAATAAAATTGCCATTTCACTGAGATCTGATTATGTGTGATTTTTTTATTGATGCGTTAGGCCATTATAGTATTTAGTTGTTCAGTAATAGGTTTTGTTTGTGATGATCCTGTAGAACAACTCTAGTGACTCATATTAAAAAGCATTGTTCTGTGAGCTGAGTGAGCAAATGTTTTCTACAGATTCAATATTTCAAGTAAATTTTGTGAGAATAAGATACAGTAAATATGAGATTAGTTCAAATAAACTAGTTTGCAAAAGTATTTAGTCACTTTAATCTTATCCTTGTCTTTTGACCTTTTTGTTGTATAAAATGGTTTTCTAAGATATTTATTTATAAGTTTCTTTGCAACATAAAAGTTGTATAGGCTAGGTATGATGATGCAAATAAAATTGCCATTTCACTGAGATCTGATTATGTGTGATTTTTTTATTGATGCGTTAGGCCATTATAGTATTTAGTTGTTCAGTAATAGGTTTTGTTTGTGATGATCCTGTAGTTTGTCTCAGTCTGCTGACACACAATGAGATGTGCTTAATGTGCCAATTTACAGAAGATCTCAGACATCATCATAATGAATGAGGAGAAAACTGGAAACTATTGGCTTTTCAGCAGCTCGTTGATTTTTGTTATCAAGAGAGATTATTCAGTGTAAATTAAGTGAACACAAGTATTGGATTTTAGAAAATCTGTTTCTAATTTGTTTAAATGCTATATTTTGTAGCATCAAAATAAAAAGTCAAAAGCAGGATATCATGCATTAATAGGCTGGAAGCGGTTGTTACCACAAGAATATGATCAGGGCACTGGGGGGTAACTAGGAATCACGCTTAATCTGGACACATCCTGACCTAACAGACTATATTGTATGAGAGATATCTCTGTTTTACCAGCATTTTCCATTAGATGGCAGCAATACACTAAAGAGTTTGCCGTAAAAATGCAAAGGAACAAATGGAGCATGCACACTTGCACAGAAGAGAGTAGCGTGAAAGACGAGTGATGGATGTTTTAACGGACTAAAAGCTATAAGTGACGCTGTTATTGATCATAAATAAAGGTCAGTCGTGGAATATTTTCGCTGGATGTCGTATATTTTCAGCATGCATGTGAGAGATGTTCACTGTTTACAGAGTTTGCATGTTCTGATTGATTATATTAACGAGACTGTAATATGTTGGCACTTGGCAGATAGTTTTTCTGACTCTGAGTGAGTGTGAGCACTTCTGTGTGATAAAGATTTCATGACTTTCATGAGTTTTTTTTAGACTCTTACATTTACATTGTCATTTTGCAGACGCTTTTATCCAAAGCGACTTACAATTGGGGAATACATAAAGCGATTGTTCTTAAAGAGGCAAACAGACACCGGAAGTGCTCGTAATACCAATACCGCATCTGATTGACCGATAAACCACGAGCTCTATCAGTTATTGTTAATGTTCTGGTTATTTTTTTTTTTAGTGTACAGTTTGTTAATGTTGTGCAAAGCATACAGTCAAAGTAAACTTAATCATTCAGCTGAACTGTGCACATTTATTTTAGACACTTCATGTCTTGTTTAATTCATGCGATAAACGCATGTCCCTGCTGAGCTTGAGCTGTGGGCTAATGCTGCGTTCAAGTCCTCCTGGGAAGTTCGTACTTAGGAGTTGACAAGTCGTAATTACGACGTCAGGTGCGTTCAAGTCAGTTTAGTCGGCACAAGATGGCGGTGTACCTTCTTTTAATAAATTACAAGAAAATACAACAGGGTCTGTTAACTCTGCTTATAGAAAATGAAGTGCGAATTCTTTGCATCAGGTGTGTTTTAAAAAAGTGGAAAAAAAAGTGACGTGACATGTGGCCAAGTATGGTGACCCATACTCGGAATTAGTGCTCTGCATTTATCCTATCCAAAGTGCACACACACAGCAGTGAACACACACCCGGCGCAGTGGGCAGCTCTTTTTGCTCGGTGCCTTGCTCAAGGACACCTCAGTCGTGGTATTGAAGGTGGAAGAAAGCGCTGTACATTCACTCCCCCCACCTACAATCCCTGCCGGTACGAGACTCGAACCCGCAACCTTTGGGTTACAAGTCCGACTCTCTAACCATTAGG